ACACAGGTAGTAATATGTAGGTTAAATGTAATAAAGAAATTATCAGAGATGTCTAGAGGTTTTACCAAATGTTGTCTGTGATACAATTGCATGTGTAAATTAAGTCAAGCTGGTTGCCTGATTTGTTAGTGCTTGTGGTGGTGAGCCATTTGAGATCAAATGAAGCTAAGAGTGGAAGTGGAAGTCTGCAGTGTAAGGCTTCTCCAGATGGATTTCGAAGTCACCAAAGACTACAAGTGGACTGCCATCCACAGAGAATGAGGACAGCAGCCCATACAGCTCGTCTATAAAGGTGCCCAGTTGACCAGGAAGGCGATAAATCATTACAATAGGGAGTACAATACAATAACAGGAGCTGTTACCATAATAGCATGAAACTCAAAAGAATTTTTATTGCATAGGGAAGAGTGGGTTGAGTATTTCCAATTATAAGAAATGAGAAGACCAGTATCCTTCCAACCTGACGGGGGGTGTGAGAGAAAGGTGAAGTTGTTAGAGAGAACAGCAGGGGTTGTGGAGTCTTCTGGACGAATCCAGGTCTCAGTCAAGCCCAAGATACTAAGAGTAGACTGAGAAGCAATGGCCAGAATGAAGTTTGTTGACAGCTGACTGACAATTCCAGAAACCCACAGAAAATGACAGAGGTGCAGCAGAATTGGTGCAGATAGGACGCAGCTTAGCAAGATTAGCAGCTTAGCCGTCTGCGTGTGATGTTAAGAGCATTGTTGAGAGAGAACAAGAATGTACTGGAAACATACTACTGCCTACCTGACTCTGCCTGAGAGGTAAGGAAAAATACACTTACTTGAGATGATATTTTTTTATATCTCTAATTGTATTCTTGAAAACAATCTTTTATTGTACTATTGAATAAAATATTAGTTAAGCTGGTGTGTGGTGGGCATTCTGGCGCAATATGGCTGCTGTCACATCATCCAGGTGGATGCTGCACATTGGTGGTGGTTGCGGAAATTCCCCCTTCCATGTAAAGTGCTTTGAGTACCCAGAAAAGCCTATATAAATGTAACAAATTAATAATTAATTAAGTAAAACAATCTTTTATTGTACTATTGAATAAAATATTAGTTAATTATCAAAGAAAGAAAAAATTAATAGCCATAATATGGACTATTGTAAATGCTGTGATACTGTGATGCTCAGATACGGTTATTTCCTTCTCACATTGCTGAATTCACCATTAGCTCTTCACCTGAATAGTTTATGTTGCGGTATATGGTCATCCTTGACCATCAAAACATAGGGGTAGACATCACCTTTTCTGTGTTATCACGTTTGGTTCGGGAGATATGACACAAAATACATAATTTGGTTATGGCGGAAAGTAAAATGGTCACCATGGCAACCACGAGGTGTTTTTGCGATGGCCCCATTTCTGAAAATTGTACCAAGTTTCATGCTTTTATGAAAAAGTGAACATCACCTCAAATTTTGCACATATCACCTGGACTACATCTAAACAGTTGGTTCTGTCTAAAGTGAAAGTAAACAGCTGAGAGAAATACAGATGTGTGCCTGTATAGCCTATTAGACGCATGCAGCTCTTAAAGCGACAGCAGACTTACTAATTGTACTAAACATGACAGTAGCCCCCTCACTGCAGAACGCAAGATCCAGGGGGCGTGGTTGGATCCACATCTAGTGGGTGGAGATGGGTGGGGTTAGGTATATATAAGGTGGGAGGAGTTGGATCTGGATCCAACCACGCCCCAAAGAAAAAATTAATAGCCATAATATGGACTATTGTAAATGCTGTGATACTGTGATGCTCAGATACGGTTATTTCCTTCTCACATTGCTGAATTCACCATTAGCTCTTCACCTGAATAGTTTATGTTGCGGTATATGGTCATCCTTGACCATCAAAACATAGGGGTAGACATCACCTTTTCTGTGTTATCACGTTTGGTTCGGGAGATATGACACAAAATACATAATTTGGTTATGGCGGAAAGTAAAATGGTCACCATGGCAACCACGAGGTGTTTTTGCGATGGCCCCATTTCTGAAAATTGTACCAAGTTTCATGCTTTTATGAAAAAGTGAACATCACCTCAAATTTTGCACATATCACCTGGACTACATCTAAACAGTTGGTTCTGTCTAAAGTGAAAGTAAACAGCTGAGAGAAATACAGATGTGTGCCTGTATAGCCTATTAGACGCATGCAGCTCTTAAAGCGACAGCAGACTTACTAATTGTACTAAACATGACAGTAGCCCCCTCACTGCAGAACGCAAGATCCAGGGGGCGTGGTTGGATCCACATCGAGTGGGTGGAGATGGGTGGGGTTAGGTATATATAAGGTGGGAGGAGTTGGATCTGGATCCAACCACGCCCCTGGATCTTGTGTTTCTGCAATGAGGACCATCTCAAACATGATGGCGCTTGTCAATAAAGGGATAGTTCAATCAAAAATTAAAATTCTGTCATTATTTACACACTCTCATGTTGTCCCAAACCTGTATTAATTTCTTTCTTGTGCTTCAACACAAATGAAGATATTTTGAAGAATGTGGGTAACCAAACAGCTGCTGGTACACATTGACTTTGATAGTAGAAAAAAAAAAAAACATAAATAAATACCATGGAAGTCACGGGGGACCAGCGACTCTTTCGTTACCCACATTCTTCAAACTATCTTCCTTTGTGTTCAGTACAAGAAAGAAATTAATACAGGTTTGAGACAACTAGACACTTGAGTAAATAATGACAGTTTAAATTTTTAGGTGAACTATCCCTTTAATGTCAATAAAACGACAAAACACAAACAGAAAAAATCACTCACTGCTCTTGACTGAAGAACTTTAATACAGTTGCTTTAATAAGAATCCTCACTGCTCTTGACTGAAGAACTTTAATACAGTTGCTTTAATAAGAATCAATGTATAATTATACAGTGAAGTGTATATAGTGTTTTATTTTTTATATCTGTTCATTCAATTTATTGAATGCTACAGCTAAATACACCTACTGTACCTGAAAAATAAAACAGTTTGTTTCATTTGTATATTAGGTGTATTTGTAATGTGCATCTTTGTTGTAATTTTTTAATAACAAAGATAAAATAATGACAATGATTTTTATCTTCGCCCACTTTGGCCTAAATGTCTGCCATTGTTGTTTATTTTATATTTTGCTACTTTGTAAGGTTTTGTTTAAAAAAAAAAAAAAGGGAAATTAGTTTGACTGTACTGCTCAGACAACTTGCAAATTAGTAAAATCAACATGACAAAGAATCGTGATAAAATCAAGAATCATGATTTTTCTGAAAAAAAAAAAAAAATAAATCATGATATTTTTGCCATATCGCCCACCCCTACACCAAAGAAAGGCTAAAGCAGAATTTCATGTAAGATGTGATGGCTTGGCACTTTGATGTTTACTTTGAGAAAAGCATTTTGAAGCTGTTGAATCTGTGCCAAATTCATATGAACTCATACTACTTCCTTTGCACATGTACAGATATGTGAAACCGTCTGATTGGTCGCATTTTGCCCGAGTCTTCTCTCAGACTGGATATGCCTTAGCTGGGTCCACCTGGACTCTAAACTGAAGATGCTGGCGAACTGCACCTGGTGGAGTACATGTAATCTTCAGTAGTCCCTCAAAACGTAAAGTCTGTTTCTTTTTCATCTGGACTCTGAGGCAGACTTTTACAGTGGATCTTTCCAATCTCCTCCAAAGCACTTGCAAGTGAGTCAAGATCTCCACTGTCCTGATGCCTGGCCTCCCAGAGACTGAGAATGACAGCAGATGGACTATTCTGCTTGGTAAAGTAGGACAGGTTCCTGTGCCGAAAGGAAATGCAGGTTTCACAAAGATGACAACGTTATTGAGTACATAGCAATAGCATATTTTCAACCTTCTATCCTGCCTGAGTCATATACACAATGTTTGCAAGCACATCTGGATAACTTTTTATTATATTTGCATTACATTATATGTGCATTATAGCCTGTATGTATGACTTTGAGTATTCTTATGTGTCCGTCTGTTGTTGTTTTTAGGGACTACAGTTGAAATGAATACATGACCTGTGTGCTGTTACTTGTAATGTGCCAGTAGATGGCAGTGTTGTAATATAATTCCAAAATCAAATGGTCATGTGACATAGGCTTAGAAAAGGTAACAAGATGTTTGCTTTCTGAATAAATCTGAATTGCCATTTATTTCAAATAGCACAAATTACACAGCTGCAATTCCCGTTCATATCTTCATAACTGTGATGTATTTATGTATTAGTAGTACCAAAGTATTTGTAGGAATGAAAAACAAGTCTTCAATTGTAATCGGTTCTCTTTTTATTTGCATGGTTTCCTTTTGTAGAGTTACTTGGATGCAACTCTTGTTAAAAATAATAAATAATAATAATAAAATAAAAGCTAAACAGACCCATTTCAGACCAAACTAACAAATAAAACGTTCAGATTTAAAAGGAAGGTTTAGGGTTTGGATTAAGTTTAGCTCATAAATCAACTACACAGAAATAAAAATCAGTATAAACTATCAATGTGCCATATACAATCATTTTATAGATAAAGGTAAGGTGGCGGCTCTTATATCTCTCAAATCTAGTGGTTTCTTTAACGTCTAACCTTTGTAGAAACGGAATTCAATAAAGATGAAAAGCCTGAGGAGTATGAGTTCTGAGTGAAATGATTGAGCAAAGCGGAGCGCAGTCTCAGCTTATTATTCAAGGGCATTGTTAACAAAGTGAGCACTGCTGCAATAAGTTTCAATCAGTCCTGTTTCCTTGGCTACATCTCTCTCTAATGCTCACCTTTGAATGTGGAGTTTCTGAGCTAAGAGCTGCCAGTCCTTGCCCTTGGCGTTGGCAGTATCGAAGGTGGTGCATATCCGCTGACGTATGGACAGGGGGATTTTGAAGGCTTTGGCTCCCGTCTGTGAAGTCACCGTGCAATCTGCCTGCATAAAAAATGGGACCGTCTCTTTCTCACTCTGAAAGAAAAAAAAAAAAACGGTGGTTTTGGCATGCATTTTTGTTAATCTACAAAGGAGCTTGAAAAAACAGTTGTGGTTTATAATATATTATACCCATGTACTAAAAGACATAGGCTCAGAATTACTAAATAAGGCAAATTAACATGAGATCCCATAAAATTGCTGATGGGAGTGGAATGTTCTGCGGTTGATCGACTGACAATGAGCAGATTAAAGAACACGGATCATTTCCATAATGACCAACGCAAAATACCAAGAGCGGTGCAAATTAGTAATTATTGCAGCCATGCCAAGCACAAAATGGGTTGAGACATACGTTTTTGGGCATTTATTAATGGCAAAAATACCAGTTGACTACCACAATCCTTAGTATATCACATTGCATGACTCATTTAAATACTTTCCTCCCATAAATTCTGCATCTAAAAGGGAAACTCCTACAAATGCATATGCAATAAGGTCAGCTGTGTCCACGCCTTTTCATCGCTAATTTTTTACTGCGTGTCTTTAGGAGATTTTTAATGCCAAAAGAGGGTTTGCGGTGGCACAAGCTGTTAGCTGTATATCTGGCCCCAAATGACAGTAACTTTTAAAGGAAGAGTTAAATTAAAATGAAAACCGCCATTTTTTTTTTACTTTTGTCATTTCAAACCTGTACGCAGTTTTTTCTTTGGAACACAAAAGAATTTCTGAATATTTGTCATTTTTTCCATGCAATAACTGTAAATTCAGACTGTTGAGCTCCAAATGCATAAAAAGTACCACAGAACACAATGAAAGTAGTCCACATGACTCACGCTATAAGTCTTCTGAAGACACACATTAGCTTTGAATGAGTACAGATCATTATTATATTACAGAGTCATTATAGTTTTAAGTCATTTATACACATTACTCTTCAACGCTACTGTGACCCTGAATCAAAATAGCCACCTTCTCAAGCAGTGATGCCATATAAGAACTATTTCTTGTTCCCCAAATAACTTTTTAGTGAACAATTTAAAAGAACCTTTTTTTCTTAGCATGAAGAAATGAACAAACTTTTTCCACTGTGAGAGCCTTCTGTGCAATAGAAAGGTTCCATGGATGTTAAACGTTCTTCAAGGAACCATAGATGCCAATAAAGAACCTCTATTTTTAAGAGTGTGCGGTGCAGGTAAGATGTCAATAGCAGCATATTTGATTTGAGAAGTCTACACTGAAATCTGAAAATTGACTGAAAATAATTTCTGTTCACGACACTCCTTTTTAGAGCTTGACAGCCTTGTCACTATAAACTGTCATTGTGTGGGAGATGTCAAGACTCTTTAAAATTCTTTTTTTTTGCTCCACAGGGAAAATAAACATGAGGCCGAGTAAATAATGACAGTACCCGAAGACACAGAGATGTTACTAAACACTGTGACAGAGTGAATCTGACCTCTCCCACTGAGGTGTAGACCTGCAGGATCTGCTCGTGACCTTTGACCTGCCGCACACTGATCTTGCAGGAGAGCTGGGTGGTTGAGGCGCTATGTCTCTGCAGCGAGAAGGCACAGTGCATAGGCTGCTGGTTACTATACCAGACTTGGGTGAAGGAGAATTCCTGCAGCGGGATGAGGTCACCAGAAACGAAAAGAAGAAGAGAGAGAGAGATCAGAGAGCTGAGTCAGGGAAAGCGCCTGATCCATGAAAAATGTGGAAGCATGCGTATTAAGAGACTCGTCTCTGAGACCATCAGTACAAAAGAGACACAAACTCTAATCCCTGTTAATTCCGATGATAGGGGTCAGTGCTGGGGTATGTACAATACAACGTATCTGGGAGCAGGGCAGCAGAAGGGAAAGCAATTGCCTTTGATGTATAATTAATTTCTGTGAAGCAGTACGTCTGCAGGGAGTGTCCTTGACCTCTCCTGCACTATTTCTCCAGCCCTGCATATTGAAATGACCTGCGAGATGCTCTATGTCAACAGTAATAGGAACCCTGAGCAGAAGAGATGCTTGATGGGACAGCAGATGCCTTAATGCCGGGATTAATTTCTCCCTTGAGTAGACATACAAAAGCATGTTCCAAGAGACAGAAGCACCTCTGAACTGATCAAACGCCTGAACCTAGAACCAAATACTTGTCACTGTCTATCTGCATGCTAGGTAGGAGGACAGTGTCGGTCTTCAGAGATGAAACTTGTAGTGCTGTATGAATGAAAGCTAAAACTGCTACTCTTTGCTTCCTATAAGAGATTCAAGCATACAGACTAGATTATTTTTTTTTACACATTTATGGGCTTTTTTCTCTTGTCATAAAAATAGCACAGAATAGACAGGAAAGCGCATTTAAAACATTGTATGTTTGTCTTGTTGTACAGTGCAAACTTCTTAAGATGTTAAAACAAGACACAATTACTTTGCAAAATTGAAGTGAAATTGCATAAAATATTAAGACTTGTTTTCAGAGAATACAGTTTATTTTTTCTTACCTCACTTGCTAATTTTTTTATTAAAAAAAAAAAAAATTAATAAAAAACAATTAGTCAGTAAATAAATCTCACATCAAGAGTTTTATGCTTAAAAACTATGCTAATGTAGTAAGAAATATTAAATTAAATTTATGTTCTCTAAAAACAATTTTTAATAGCTTACTAAATGACTGGAAAAACAAGACAAAAACCTTGATCACGCAAACTCACCTCATATTATGGATACTCTACAAAAAATTCTGGGTTATTTTTGTCTTGACCCAAATGTTGGGTTCAGTCTGTTGAGTCATTTCATTGGGTTATGTTTATTGTTTTTACCCAGGTGCTGGATAGTTTTTGTGTAAATCAGCTGCTGTGTCAATTTTACTGCCAATTTAAATGATGAAACCCCTCACACACCTACCCAGCGCTCGGTCAATGTAACCCAGTGTTGGCTAGCCAAACTGGTTAAAACCAGATCAATTTGTCAATTGTCATTTTGTGTTGTTTTCTGAGAGAAAACTTCCTGAGAGGAATCTTCCTGAATGGAATAAAGGTTTGGATTACATTGTTTTCCTATAAATTTTTTTACTGTAGAAACAAAATGAGACAAAATGTATTTAGTCTCACATTATAACTTTTTTGTTTACATGTATGTTGCAACTAATATCTGCTTGGAATGCTAGTCTTCTACAAATGCAGCAAACACTGAACCTATGAAGCACCACCATTTACGAATTGAAATGTATGAACTGTCCCTGTTATATATAACAGAGAACAGATTGCATTAATATTATTTGAAATTAATAACCTTCAATATCAGGTTGTTGGACCCAGTACTATGTCAAAAAACAAACCAGAAAATTGGTTAATGTATAAAACCCAACAAGCTGGGTCAAAATAAACCATCTTGTGTTCTGTCCACTATTTACACTGCAGTGGGTTGCCAAATAGCCCTGCACTGGTCATTTTTAATCTAGCATTTTTTAGAGTGTATAGACTAGCTTTACCCGGGAATTCTGCAATGCACTTGTGCAGGTAAGTGACTGTTACACATTACAGTACTGGTCAGAGTAGGCTACTCATGCTAGCATGTTACCTGACAGGTAGTGAAGGGTTTGATGCTCCACAGAAACTGGGGGATATCCTGGATGGACACCAGCAGACTGAGGCAGTTTCCTTTGAAGAACAGCGTCTTGGGCTCCTCAAGAAGCAGACCTCCTCTACTTGTTTCAGCAGTTACCACTCTCTTTGTAAAAAAATGGAAGTACATGAAAAACAGAGTGAGAACACTGGGGAAAGACATAGGAAAGGGCAGAAAGTGGTACAGAAAGAAAATGTGGATAGACTGGACAACCATAACCTAGAACCACGGTATTGCAGCTACTCTGCTTAGGAGGTGCTGTTCAGAAGAGAAATTACTACAATGGCTAAAAACAGTTATGCCAATTTCAAGTGTAACATCTTGTCAATCCATTGTAGTTAAAACTCAATATAAGAAATATTATCTAAACTTGATCTCGAGTAGCTAAAAAAAAGGTACAGTGTTTGGAAGGAACAAAAGATCTGCAGCTAATAAATATTCAGAAATAAATAAAAAGCTTTCAAACAAAGTACTGGTTAAAGCTTTGAAAAGAAAATTGAATTTAAATAGATTACTGGTGTCTTTGATTTCAAGCGTGGCAGTGTTCATCTGTCAAAACTGCTTTGTGTTTCATTGCATTGCAAAGATGAGTGTTCTCTTTGTATGTGTGTGAGTGTGTGTGTGCGTGTGAGCACACAGGAGTCTGAGCGCTCATGCAAGACCACAGTAATTGACTCTGACTTTTGTAACCTCTGGTTGTGTGTTTGAAAATAGCACTGACCAAAGCAGACATTCTGATCACACAATTAAACCATCATAATTCTAAACCCACACTGTCACCAGTGGTCTCAGACTTTTGGACCCCACTGCAAATGCAGTCTACTTTTGCTATAATCATCTTGTGATGCCCCATAGATTTACATTTAAATATTGAAATGAAGGAAGTTCTTCTAGATATTTAAAACTAGAGTGCAACAGTGACCGCCCACTTTTTCAGCAGCCTATTTTTCCCCATAGGGAAAAAAAAAAAAAAAAA